ATTACAAACAAATACTACAATTTTTTTATCTACATAGATGCATAGATTAAGAAGTAGATCAAAAGTAAATTAATAGACTATGCCCGATCATCCTCAAGAAGTGACTATTCGTACCTTTGGAAGTAAATTTATATTACTAAACATTTTTATAGCTTCAAAAGACAAATATCATTACTATTGCGTTTTACCTATCTATTCGATGAAGGTTATAAAGAGTGAGTTTGTACGCCAACAAATACCGATTTTAATAATGAACCTTCAACTTTTTACGAATTTAAACGACAATACTGAGTCCAAATCAATTTTGTAGTTCATTCGTTTTTTCGAAACAAATAAGTAATTAAGCCAGGACAGGACGTATTTGTTCTAAAAAATGGGTGTTACGAAAAGTTTATTTCAAATAACGAATACGTAGAAGTAGAGAATTCGAAATATAAATTGGAATAACGTTTGAAATAAAAATATAAACTGTCAGTGTCGGCGTCGAGTTTTTATTAAGAACAACAAAATGTGCAATTTGTTTTTTGACCGTTATTTTTTAAATTATTCCTCCTATATTACAGAAAAAGATAGAAGAATTCGAAATATAAATTGGAATAACGTTTAAAATAAAAATATAAACTGTCAGTGTCGGCGTCGAGTTTTTATTAAGAACAACAAAATGCGCAATTTGTTTTTTGACCGTTATTTTTTAAATTATTCGTTCTATATTAATATAACAAAAAAAGATCAAGATAGTAAGATAGATGAACGTCGGAAAATAATCATCTTTATTGGAAGTATATGGTGTTTACAATGTCAAATATTTGGTTAAAAAGTTTATAGGTTATGTTTAAAAAAAAAACGAGAAATGCGATGGTAAAATTTCTTCTAGTGCATGACTCAACATCATTTTGAATAGTTCTTCTTAGAGACTGACTGAAAGGTGAAAAAATGTAGATTATATTAAGGAATACATCAGCGTCATCATACAACTGCATCACCAGGCGAAATAATGGTCAAACATCGTTCCATCAAATATGAGAAAAAAAGGAAATACATCATGTTATTCAAAATCATTAACATGATCATCAACACATTACAGTGCGCTGAATTCCTTTACAGCACGCCTTGGTGATAGCCTGTATCATTGTTTTCCAGGTATACATTAGGTCAGATGATGTCACCGACCGGAGTCGGTGTGGTATCACAGCTGAACATCACGAGGGCGAGGGTAGAAGACGGTGGCTTGTACTCGTGCTTAGCTCTAGAAGGAGACTCCAATACAGGACATTCGTCTAGAATTGATGTTTTTGGTAAGACTTCAACTGTTAAATAAAATAGGGTAAAATCACAAGCCTTTCGGACTTCTATCGGATACATTTCGGTGAGTGTGCGTGGGAATTGCACAACATTACCACCAGACGAACGGCGGGGTGCCACCCTTATATGGTGGACATTCCACCCATTCGCACGAAGCGTTTCGCGTCAAGCTTCCTTAGGCGAACCACTAAGGAATAGAATTCCTTGTCAGAGGCTGTGTTTCCGGGCTGTGTTTCCCGTCAAATATGACTTGGGTGTCTTCAAGTCCCGAGTGAACAGGTTGCTCATAGGTAGGTAACGCCTCTGGTGTTCCAGGTGTCCATGGGCGACGACGATTGCTTACCATCAGGTGATCCGTATGCTCGTTTACCGGCTTAAGCCATAATACGATGTTAATTTTTTTGATTTTAAATTAGTTATTAATTATGACTGTCTGTTAAAGACTGAGGTGTGTATTTCTTATTTTCCGTATGCAATAATTTGTTTCAGGACCTCCATACATAAGAACGTTGCCACCAATTAAAGTTCAGAGTGGAGAACCATTGAAGTTGAGGTGTCCCTACTATGGATATCCCATTAGGTAACGGTTATAAATACTTCAATTCTGGTTTCGTCTCACTTTAAATCCAACTACATAATCTATAAGCACTTGATTTGATAATAGTCTGGTCGCAACTTGACAGCAAGGAGTTTCGGGTTCGATTCCCGGATCGGATGCAGTATTATTAGTTTTTTTTTAATAAATCACAGTTGTAGCACGGATTCTTCTCGTTGGCCGGCTGATCGCAAATGCGACTGCCGGCAGAGAGGTCTCCGGTTTTTCAAAAATTCTCAGTAGTAGCATGGAGTCGGGAATTAAGCCCGGTATAAGGTAATAGGCCCTATGACATGGGACTCATAACATAGAGAGTGAAAAGTGGGTGTTACATTGTACAGTGGCATTAAGTGCCGTAATCTGCACCTTTGCCTACCTTTAGGATAAAAATCGTGATATTATGTTATGTTGTAAACAAGAAGAAAAGTTTAACATTTCTCTAAGTGCAGCAGTAACAAAATAAATAAGCATGAAAGCATGAAGTTACAAACTCGACTAACCGTAGTTTGTCAGTGCAAAACATACAGAAATGTTTTTAATTTACAGCAAACTAGGATGGGAACACAAAGGAAAGAAGATTATCAGTTCCACACTCCCACAGCACTCTAGATACAAAAGAACATACTCAACTACTTCTAATAATAGTAAGAATACTAGGAGAAAACGGAAGAAAAGACAGCTCTTTGAGACAGGAGCTGATGGCGTACTGAATATACCGAGAGTTTTAAAAGAAGAAAATGGGGATACGTATACTTGTATTGTGTATTCTCCATCAGGTGAAATGGCTAGAAGGTATGAATTTTGTTCGTAATATTTTGTTCTGTTGTTTCTTGATTAGCGGTGCTGAGTGGTTAGCATGAAAACTATCGAGAAAGTATTCGTATCGACATCGAAAGCATTTTCTATGGAATTTGTTATTGTGGAATTTGTTTATTCTGATCTCTTACTTACCATTGGGTGATCAGTATGCTAATTTTGCCTATTTTATAAAAATTAACTGCCTCGTTGCCTGAGTGGTTTTCAAGTGCTACTGCCGGGCAAGGGGTCTCGGGTTCGATTCCCAGGAAGAGCAAAGTATTTTTGGGTTTTTTAAAAAGAATTTCAGTAGGAGGACGGAGTCTGGAATTGTGCCCGGTATATGGCAAAGGCATAGGCTCACCCCCTATTACATGGGACTCATAAGATAAATAGTGAAAAAAGTTACATTGTACTGTGGCGTAATGTGCACCTCTGCCTACCCCTTCGGGGATAAAAGGCGTGATGTTATATTATGTTAAAAAATAAATAATTTTATTGTGGTTTTCCTAAATAACGCAGTATGAACAAAAACTTAGCTTGCTTATAGGCAGACGTGCTTTACCATAGACCGCATCATCGCTTACGGTGATAAGCGATGGTGGATCGAGATAGTGGCCTACCAAATATAAAAAAAACTTATCTTTCTTCTAACTAATATTCATAATAATTATGTTCTACTACCTTACAGGTCGTTTGAAATTCAAGTGGTGGAAGCGCCTGAGCTGGATGAGCTTCGAGTTGGCAGTGGATTGAAGGAAGGCCAAATAGTTCAGATAACTTGCAATATTATCAGCGGTGACCCACCCATTTACTTTTCTTGGCTCAAGGATGGAAAGAAACTTCCAGCTAGTTTAAAGGTTTGCTAATTTCTTTTGTTAAAAAGTAGATAATTATAATTAGTGTCATAGATGTAAAAATATGTCCCATAGAACCTAGCGTCGCGAAGAACCTAACGGCAGGAGGAGGAACGGGGTGGTTTTTAGTCAGTAAGAGTCTGACGCTCCCTCCCGCCTCACCCAGGCGGGAGCAGTCATTCGATGATTTTCCCCCATTAAAAAAAAGACGTAAAGATATGCTTCAATTAAAGCATATCTTTACGTCTTTTTTTGCACTGCCCTTGCTATATAGGTTCTTTATTTCATTGCACAACGTGATTCCCTCTAGGCCTTTCCTTCATCGTACTACAAGACAATCGGCGAAGCATCACCGATTCATGGTAGATGTCTCACCCACACGCACGAAGCGCTTCGCATCAAGTTTCCTTGTGCGTACTGCTAAGGAGTAGAATTCTTTGCCAGAGTCTGTGTTTCCTAAAGGGTATGGGTGTCTTCATAGTGAATAGGTTGCTTATGGATCGACGTGCTGTAGACTACATCATCGCTTACCACCAGGCGAGATAGTAGTCAAACGTCGGCCTATCAAATATGAAACAAAAAATTGTTTTACCAAAAAATATAGGACCTATTATACAGCCTTGAGTAACTCCCTAGTTTTTTTTTACAGATAACAGAAAGAAGTTCGGAGTTGTTCAGCGTTTTGATTATAAAACGCGTGTCTTTAGAACACTGTGGTAAATATACGTGTATAGCAACGAACCATGTTGGTAAAGTTAACCAACTGCTGATCTTTATATTAATGGTGAGTCAAACGCATTTGTTAATCCCAAAAATACGAATAATAATATTTTAGTGCTACATTTAAGTTGATATTTATTTTATTTTTATTAAACCGGCTGCTGTGCAACGTGTCGCGGGTTCGACTCCCGCACGGAACAACACTTTGTGTGATCCATAAATTGTTGTTTCGGGTTTGGGTGCCATTGTGTATGTGAACTTGTATGTTTGTAAACGCACCCACGACACAGGAGAAAATCCTAATGTGTGGCAACGTTTTTTTTTTTAAGAGAAGAGAAAGAGTACCTTTGCGTATAGAAAATATATTTAACACAAAAGATGTTGAGAGTTTACCTTAAATATTAACTAGAGAATAAAAGTTTTGCTCTTTGCAAAATTGCGAGTTATTGTTCGTTAACATATTAACAGTACAAAAATTGCATGATAATGACATTCTAGTCATTCTCATTAATTTCTCATCATCTCATTCTGTGTAGGTAAAGAGAATGAAATGAATGAGATTTACTGCTGTTAAAGGTTACAAAATATACATTAGAAAATAATCCATACTAAATTAATTTACAGTGGCACCAAAATGGATAGAAGAACCAACAAACACTTCGCTACTGTTGGGACAACGTGGCGTGGTATATTGCAATGCAAACGGCTATCCAACGCCGCAGATACATTGGATGAAGAGGGACGGTGAGTGAAATATTTACACACGATCAATAGTCTGTGTTAAACTGTTAGTGCGCCTAGAATTTTGGTCTTTAAGGTCGTGTTGGATTACAATGTAATGTGATGAAGATGTTTCATGCTAAGTAGGGTCAAATTTGGTTGAATTTGGTAGGTTCCCTTACAATGTTTTCCTTTACCATTTGTCAGTAGTATCTGAATAATGTTAGAAAGAACATTAAAGTTAGGTTTTGAACATGCACCTTCATGCGTGAGAAGCGGGCTACTTAAACCTCCGCGCCCCACGACGACCTTATATGGTGATAGTTTCCCAATTTTCGGATAATTTCGGTGTTCCTTAACATGAACCGGAACGGATTTTTTTTAACCCTCTTAAAAAAACCTGAACGGATGGATGGACGCGAACAGCCGAAGCTACCCTGTAATATATGACTAACATTTTTATTCCTTCACTTCACAGCAACACTCGGTATATGGAGACCAGTCCTAGACTTGGCTGGGGGTGGAGTGATGAGCTACCCAAACGGTACCCTCATCATCGAAGTGGTATCTCTTTCTGATGAGGGAATGTATGCATGCAACGTCGAGAATGGGGTGGGCGATGCCCTGAACAAGAATCTTTGGATAAGTGTTAATAGTAAGTTTGATTAAATAGAATTTAACTTATTTTTTTGGATATAATATATGTTAGTTTTCCTTTCCACTGATGACTAATAAAAATGGTTACTGCATGGTTGGTGCGGTCGCTAGGCAGCTGGCTGCCGCGCAATGTGTTGCGGGTTCGATTCCCGCACGGAACAACGGAATTCTTTGTGTGATCCACAGATTGTTGTTCCAAGTCTGGATGTTTGAGCTTTAATTACCACGCTTTCTCAATGCGGGTTGGCGATTTCAAACTTCCCGGTTTTCGTCACGATGTTCTCTTTCATCGTTTGTCAGTGGTGTCTAAATAATCTTAGGAAGGACATATACATATACAGAGCGGATATGAATGGAGCCGTTGGTAGAGGGCGCCCTAGACCGACATAATCACTATTCATGTTATGAGTCTCATGTAGTGATCTTCCCATGTTATAATTGTTCTTATTTAATTTTTATGTAATAATAAATATGTAATAAAAATATGTTTTACACAAATAAACTTAAACATTCGCTAAAGAGACTAAACCTTATAATAATGTGAGAAACTAATTCAAACCAAAACGAGTTCTACCTCTAATGAATTCATTAAGGCACCAACCAAGTGTCCATAAAGCGGTACGACGACCTGGTACTTAAATATTTGTTTCATCAATCAAATTGATCGATTTCGTAGGGCGAGTTGTAATACGAGAGCTGTTTGCACTTCTCCTCTTTCATACGTAATTACAAAATAAATTAGCTATGTTTATTTACTTTATACGTTCTTCACTGATTTTATTTGTAGAGTATTTAATTCACGAGTAGGTTTTAGTGTACATACAGGAACATTTATTACATTATGTTATAACATAACATAACAAAACATCATGCCTTTTATAGTAGCAAAGGTGAACAATATGCTACTGTACAATGTTATAACCATTTTTCACTATTTATGTTATGAGTCCCATGTAATAGGGGGTGAGAATATTGCCATATACCGGGCACAATTCCAGACTCCGTGCTACTACTGAGATTTTTTATAAACCCAGTATTACTTTGCCCCGGGAAGCGAACCCGAGACCCCTTACTAGGCAGTCGAACTAGGGACCACTCGGTCAACGAGGCCTGGCAGTACATCAGTTTTTATGTTATGTAGTTTAAATAAATAATTATATTATAAAACACTATGCAGCAATTGACGTAAACTCGAACTTATTATCTTTAATTTAATTACAATTGGAAAATTCCAGTCATTGAATTGAAGCTTGCATAAGATAGGAAACCCAGTTTAATCTTTAACCGACTTAACAAAAAAAATAAGTTTGACCAGTATATTATACGTATGTTTGTTAGTAGGTTAGTATATTAATTAACCATCTTAAAAAAGAGGGCGTTGAAGTCGGTTTTAAACGTGGTGGTTTATAAAAGAATGATTGATATAATTTTTTGAAGATACATGATTAAAATGTGGGTAACATCGTGATTTAAGTACCAATTAAATCACTTCTTTATGTCTAAAATTTATAATCTCTGACTCTCTCCTAATATCTGTATAAAAATGTATGTATTCAAAAAATCACTTTCATAATTTAAAGATAAGAATAGAAGTCATACGGACAACAGCAATCCGCTGTTTATTAATGATAAGTATCCATGTACTGTAATGAAAGTACTCTAATATTTTAACCACAAAATTACTTCTAGAGCCGGTGCACTTTGAGTCAGTGGGCGCTAACCTCACTACAAAGATGGGTCTCCCTGTCACACTCACCTGCCGCCCTCTTGGAGACAACCCCATCAGAGTCAAATGGTCACTAGATGGAAAAGCCATTGATTTTACTTCATCAAGGTAATTATTACGATATTCCAATCTTCTAGTTGTCAAGAAAAATACCATGAAAAACTATTTAATCGAGATATCACACTTAAAAGTTACACGATTCTCGCATTTGAAAACAACGCCATCTATTAAGTGGAGGTAGTACTATAATATCCCTGTTGACGAGGCCACCGCTACGAGGTTTGTGATAACGTTCAAAAAAGAGTTTACTGCTAGAGCAAAAATCAGTCTTAATATATCCTAAGTAGTGTTTAGGATCGAATCACAGATGGCTCTGTATGTATGATAAGTATCAAAAGTGTTATCTTGTAATTATTAGTGTTACGAATCATCTTTGTGTTTTGAAAACGAAAACATAAGAGAATTTGCGTAATTATTTTTTAATATTTATATGTCATTTTGTTTCAGACTCACAATATCAGAAACGATGACTCGTAATGGGCTGAATAGTTTGATTAACATAAACTATGTGGAGAGCAGAGACGGAGGAACTTACGAGTGTCGGGCCAGCAACCCTTATGGCGTTGCTGCTTTTAATGTGCATTTGGATATACTTGGTAAAACATACAGAAATGACTGTCTCGTTGGCCGAGTGGTCGCAAGTGTGACTGCCGGGCAAGGGGTCCCGGGTTCGATTCCCGGTTCGGGCAAAGTGCTAATGGATTTTCAAAAATATCAGTAGTTGCACGGAGTCTGGAAATGTGCCCGGTATATGTCAATATGCTCACTCCCTACATGGGACTCATAACATAAATAGTGAAAAGAGGGCGTTACATTGTATAGTGGCATTAAGTGCCGAAATGTGCACCTCTGCCTATCCCTTTGGGGATAAAAAAGCGTGATGTTATGTTATGTTACATACAAAAATCTATCAATATTAGAATACTACATACTAGAAGTCTATAGGGTAGAGAAATAGGAGAATAGGTTGCTTATGGGTCGACGTGCTCCATCGTAGACCGCATCATCGCTTACCACCAGGCGAGATAGATATATATATATATAATTATAAAAAGTGTGATCCACACATATTGTTCCGGGTCTAGATGTGAGAAATTGTGTATTTAATAACGTACCTACGATACAAAAGACAATTTTAAAATGGAATAACATACCATCGTAAAATCGCCTTTTACCCCAAAGAGTAGACAGAGGTGCGAATTACGGCACTTAATGCCAATGTAACACCCACTTTTCACTATTTATGTTATGAGTCCCATGTAATACAGGGTGAGCATATTGCTATATACCGGGCACATTTCCAGACTCCGTACTACTATTGAGGTTTTTAAAAACACAGAAATATTTTACCCTTGCCCGGCTTGTCGGCAAGTCGCACTTACGACCCTTCGGCCAACGAGGCAAAGGAGAAGAAGGAATGATGATTTTACCCAGCCGTCACCATAAAACTTGGTGACTAGAGTAATGTCCCATACTAAAACAGAGCAAATTCATTTCCAGAGCCCCCAACGCCTCCTCTAGACCTTCAAGTGGACTCAGTGACCAGTAACTCAGTGAAGTTATCCTGGAGAGACACTATTAGTACGCATGTACAGTACTACACGCTGCAGTACACGACTAATGACTTCATGATGTGGGATACTGCCAAGAGTATGAATATTACTAGGTAATGCATCATTTTGTCTTATAAAGAACTAGCTTTTACCCGCGGCTTCGCTGGCGTCACAAAATAATAAAAAGTAGCCTATGTGACATATACCAATACACACAGCGCCATCTATACCAATACTTTTGTTTTTGCTCGGGAATATCAATTTTTTCCGGGTTAAAAAGTACCCTATTATTTAATCCGGACTTCTAACTTTACGTCTGCAAAAACTCAAAGCAATCGGTTTAGTAGTTACGGTGTGAAGGTGGAACAAACAAACAAACAAACTCACTTTCAGATTTATAATATTAGTAAGGATTGGGTAGTTTCCAGGGTATCAAAATTAAAAATCTAATTAGTCCGTTAGTTATATAATTAAAAAATATTAGACACGTATTTTTCTACTTTCTCGTATTAAGTTGCAATACTTAGAGTAAATGGCGCTAAGTTTAGGAGTGGGAGGTTGTTACGTCGTTCAGGAAATGTGATATTGCATTGGAATAAACTGTAAGATGTCATATTGTAAGGTGTTGTAATAAATAAATAAATAAAAATAAATAAACTTGTGTATGCCAATAAATTAAGTTTAATATAAAAAATTGTGTGTTTCAGGCAAGAGAATGATGTTCGTCAGAGTATCGAGTTGAGAGATCTGCAGCCAGCTATGGACTACAGAGTTAGAATAGCATCAGGCAACCAGGTGGACTTGAGTCCTTATACGCAGCCAGTACATTTTAGTACACAGCAAGAAGGTAATATTATTATTTTTATACCTAAATTAATGTTGAAAATATCTATTCTATACATATAATAAAACTGTAGAAGTGTAAATTCTGTACAATGAAAATATAAAAATAAAAAATTGTAGGGGTATTACTAAATAGACACCAAACCCAAAAATGTGATTAAAATGTTTGTCTGTCTATCTGTATTTTCACGCAAAAACTACCTGTCCGATTACGATGAAACTTGGTATGATTATTGTTGACGAGGGTTGTTGTTATTGTTGAAATGATGACACGGTGTATGGAGAGATAAATCACTTTAATTAAGTAAACTAAATCTATGATACACCATAGACGTGTAACTATTGATGCGTGCGATGCTGCGCGAGTGCGTGTGCCCGCTGGGGCGGCCAGTGGCGGACTGGCGGAGCGCAGGCGCGCCGGCCTGCACCGCGCGGCGATGCGCGGGCGCGCGGTTCAGCGTTAACAATTATAATTTATTATCCTGGGCACAACACTGGCTACTTTTTATCCCGAAAAATTATAAGCACAAAAAACAAACTTAATTGTGGAACTCAAGCCCTAGACACAGTTACTGTACCAAACGCAAATATAAGTTTGTTTCTTGTTGCTAGTACACTTTAGAACAAGGAAAAAAAGTCACTAGAGAACTAAGTTTTTGAGTGTGGGAGAGCCATGCTTCAGCACGAATGGGCCGGCTAGACCGGAGTGATACTACGGCCTCACAGAAAACCGACGTGAAGCAACGCTTGCGTTGTGTTTCGTCGTGTGAGTGAGGTTACCGGAGGCCCAATTACCCCCCTCCCTAGTCCCTGTCTCCCCAATCCCCTAATCCTCCACATTCCTCAAATTTCCAATTCCCAAAAGGCCGGTAACGCACTTGTAACGCCTTGGTGTTTCGAGTGTCCATGGGCGGCGCCGATTGCTTACCATCAGGTGATCAGTCTGCTCGTTTACCGGCTAATGCTGTGAAAAAAAACTAATATTTTGTTTGACTTTCTTCAAATTTACCTTTTTGTGGGTAATAAAATAAATGATTTGACAATGAACATGTCATTATTGTTTTTACAGCACCATCATCAACTCCACTAGGAGTGCAAGTCCAACAGACAGAGAGTCCTGGAGAACTGATTGTATCATGGCTGCCACCGCCACGAGAGAGTCACAATGGACAACTGCAAGGGTATCATGTGAAAGCCGTCCCTAGAATCAGTGGGGATCCAGGTAAGAAAACGTATGATGAGGGATTGTCAACTCTAAAGTTTGTTTTGTAAGGTTGAATATTCCTCGAAGATGTATTCTCGAAGATGTATTTTTCAAAGGATTATGGATTTGGACTGCCTCGTTGGCCGATTGGTCGCAAGTGCGACTGCCGGCAATACCTATGCGTAAGACTCTTCTTGGGTTCGATTCCCGGCCCGGACAAAGTACTACTGCGTTTTAAAAAAAATCTCAGCAGTAGCATGGAGTCTGAAATTGTGCCCGGTATATGGCAATAGGCTCACCCCCTATTACATGGGACTCATAACATAAATAGTGAAAAGTGGGTGTTACATTGTGCAATGGCATTAAGTGCCGTAATGTGCACCTCACCCCTTCGGGGATAAAGGCGTAATGTTATGTGTGTTTGATTATGGATTTTTGAAGTCACTTAGTGATTATTTTTTTATAATGTTCCAGTGCCCAACGACACTCAAACGAAGATCGTGAAGGTGATGTCCAGAAAAGGGAAACAAGAGACAACGCTAAGTGGACTATTAAAAAATACGAGGTAATTATCCTATCAAGATCTTTGTTACATTATTTTCTAGAGTTATTCATATTGCGAAAGGCGAACATAGGTAGCTCACCGTAGAGCGTACGTCCCGTTCCGCGCGCGCCTCAAAGAGCCATCAGATCACCACAGATGGGGCCCAATAGGGCCGATGCCGATTCGGAATCGCGGAGAACCTAACGGGTAACCGGGGCTCCGGCTCGACGTGCAGGAGAAGGAACGGGGTGGTTTTTAGACAGTAAGAGTCTGAAACTCCCTCCCGCCTCACCTGGAGAAGTCAATGGATGATATTCTTCCCTCAAAAAAAAGGAGTTCATATTTCGCGAATAAAATAATTTTGGTTAGAATGAGAATCTAAAAAGTCTCATAACAAAATATAACACAAAATCATTATAAATGTTTACATTTCAAACCTTACTGCTGTCTAATTCGGTGTGTTTTTGTAGTGTGCTGTGAACAATTTCTTTGCTTCACCAAAAGATACACCAATTTCCAATTTAATACAAATGTAATACTTTGTTTTTCAGGTATGCGGTGTCAGTGAGTGCTTTCAATTCAGCTGGCAATGGTCCCTTCTCATTACCTGTTTACCAGACAACGAGAGAAGGAGGTGAGGTTCCCTTTTTATTTTTTATATTTGATTTTATGGGCCTATGTGTGACCAGTATCTCACCTGGTAATGCGATGATGCGGTCTACGATGGAGCACGTCGACCTATAAGCAACCTATTCACTCGGGCCTCAAAGACACCCAAGTTATACCCTTCAGGAAATACAGACTCAGGGAAAGAATTCCACTCCTTAGCACTACATACAAGGAAGCTTGATGCGAATCGCGTCGTGCGTGTGAACTCTTTTGTTTGTTTTTATTTAGTGAGCGTGAATTAAAACTATTTTTTTAAATTTTCCAGCTCCAGAACTACCTCCATCAGGAGTAGAGTGTAGAGGAGTATCTTCATCGTCCTTGAGGATTGCGTGGCAGCCAATCACAGCTCAGGGAGCATCGCTTCTTGGATACTCAGCGTATTATAGTACTGAAGGTAATTTTCGTAAAGAATTATTATCGTCAACATTATTTGGCAATCATTGTTATATTGTGCTATTTTACATTTGTCCAATAAATCGAGTATAAAATTTCATTCTCGAATGTATACATATTTTCTATGAGCTTCGTTCTGTCACATTAGAAGCATAAATAATATCACGCCTTTTATCTCAGAAGGGGTAGACATAGGCATATTATGGTACTTAAAATCACTGTGCAATATAACACCCATATTTCACTATTTATGTTAAGAGTCCCATGTAATAGGGGGTGAGCCTTTTGCCATATACCGGGTAAAATTCCAGAATCCGTTCTAATATTCAGAATGTTTATACAAACTCAGGAATACTTTGCTCGAACCGGGAATCGAAACTGAGACCCTTCGCTCGGCGCCGCACGCTCCGGTCTGTTTCTGGTCGGACGGGGAGCCACCCATGCTCGCCGTCCGCAGGCCCGCGCTTACGGTGGCCGGAGATCGTCCCGCGATCCCCGACGCCCGGTGTGTCCTTCGCGATGGCTGGAGCGCGAGGGGGCTGCCTCACGCGGCCCGCCTCCTCCTTAGCTAGCATGACTGCTTCACAGTTAACCACACATTACCAAAATGAGTCACAGCAATAAAGCAAAATAAACCTTATCGGTTTGGTATAAAGGTTTGTTTTCTTTACTAAGATGTTTTAGTCTTATTTTCAGATGGACCATGGCAGAACATAAGCTCGTCCCACACAGAATTGTATCTTCAAGCTTTACTAAAGTACACAAACTATACAGTGAAAGTAGCTGGCTTCTCAAACTATGGATTGGGACCATTTTCCTATCCTATTGTTTGTACTACGTTACAAGATGGTAAGTGACCTCTACTATTTAACTGACTTCAAAACAAAAGGTCATATCAGGTCAAATTGAGAACAGTTTTACCTGATATGACCTGGGTGCTATTTCTTGAAACCAATCTTAATGTCAATGCAATTTCAATCCAACAAAATGTGAATAATCGAATCAATGTCTTCAATAGAAGGGGGGAGGGGGGTTGAAGTAGACCTTTGGCAATTTAGTTAATTGAAATATATAACATGGCGCCTTTTATCCCCGAAGGGATAGGCAGAGATGCACATTACGGCACTTCATGCCACTGTAAATGAAACAAGTGACACTCGCTTTTCAGTATGACTCCTATGTAATAGGGGGAGAGCCTATTGCCATATACCGGGCACAAATTCAGACTCCATGCTGCTACTGAAAATTTTTAAGAACCTAGTAAAACCTATGCCCGGCCCGAGAATCGAACCCGATACTCCTTGCGACCACTTAATGAAATAAACTCTGAGTAAAGCTGTGGGCATTGAGAAGAAACCAAATAGGGTATAGATATTGCTGGGTGTTGCTGTAGTAGTATTGGCTTGCTAAATAACCCAATACGTTTTGCAAACAAAAATGTGTACAGAGAAGTATAATATTATAATTCTGTAATTTAATCAAAACAAGTTTTACATTTCTACTATTGAAATCGTGCCATTTTCTCAATAGACAAAATAAAGAAACCACTAAAATATCTTTCCAGTGCCCGGTCCACCTTCAGCCATAAAAGTCTTGGTGTCATCACCCACGTCACTCCTCGTCAGCTGGAAGAGACCAGAGGAAGCCAATGGAGACATTTCACATTACACTGTCTATGTGAAACCAGTGTCGAGGTACGTAGAAATCATTATTATTATCTTTTGACTGCCTCGTTAGCCGAGTGGTCGCAAGTGCGACTGCCGGGCAAGGGATCTCGGGTTCGATTCCCGGATCGGGCAAACTATTACTGGGTTTTTAAATAAATTCTTAGTAGTAACACGGAGCCTGGAATTGTGCCCGGTATATGGCAATAGGCTCATCCCCTACTACATGGGACTCATAACTTAAATAGTGGAAAGTGAGTGTTACATTGTACAGTGGCATTAAGTGCTGTAACATACACCTCTGCCTACCCCTTCGGGATAAAAGGCGTGATGTTATGTTATGTTAGTTTCAGCGTGAATGACGGACAAACATCCAGACAAAGAAACATAAACATTTATAATATAAGTGTGATATTCTCACCTGTTGATGGAATATGTGTGTATCATCTGAATTTTTATTGAATTTCTTATGTATCGGCAAGTCTCACCACAATGGCCACAGGGTAATCAGAAGATCTAAATCATGTTGCGGATTGCTTTCAATTGACCAAATGAAAGAAAGAAAACAATTTATTTGCACCTTCACAAAATACAAAAAAAATGAAACGCATAACATAACATGACGTCTTTTATCCCCGAAGAGATAGGCAGAGGTGCACATTACATTACCCACTTTTTACTATTTCAAAACATAAAAATAGAAAAATAGAAAAAAAGGAGTGGAAACGGCGCAAATCTGATCATTAGTGGAAGTTTAAGATTGGTGATGGCCGTTTTTAGCTGATATTATTAATATTCTAATGCATTCATTTAATGAAAAAATAAATATAATTACGAACACAGGATTTGCAGACTTTTCTGAATTAGCATAGATTTTGCATTGTAAAATGTTATTCTTATTTCCCAGCACCAGCTCACCACAAAACTACAGAGTGGAAGCTGCACAAGAGACTAATCTCCGCCACCTGACGTTCCCGGTGTCGGGGCTGGCCACGGGCCGACAGTATGAAGTCTTCGTCAGAGCTCACACTGCCGTCGGAGAAGGGACGCCTAGCAATAGACTTCACATTGAATTGAGTTCTAAAGGTTGGTTCTTTAACTATAAAATTACGAGTAACTCACATGAATATACTGAGAATACGGCACATGACGGCTGGGCGACCGGCTGCCGTGCAAACTGTCACGGGTTCGATTCCCGCACAAAGCAACTCTTTTTGTGATCCACAAATTGTTTCGAATCTGAGTGTCATGTGTATGTGAACTTGCATGTTTGTAAACGCATCCACGACACAAGAGAAAATCCTAGTGTGGGGCAACGTTTTTTTAATAGTTTTTTATTTTGGTGTTTGAAAAATGTGTCTAAGCGATTTTGAACCTTGATGCATCTTGCTTCTGTGGAATGATGATAAAGATAATTATAAACTAGGAACAGAATAAAACGAATGGAGTTTCGAGAGAAACAGTTTGTACTTCCAGTGGTGGCGGGAGTAGCGTCCCTAGGCGGAGTAGTGTCAGTGGGAGTGGGCAGCTCCCTGCTCCTGGTGTGCCAGTGCGTGGGCGCGCACCTAATTAGGCGTCAAAGTACTCGTAATGAAACAGTTTGTACTTCCAGTGGTGGCGGGAGTAGCGTCCCTAGGCGGAGTAGTGTCAGTGGGAGTGGGCAGCTCCCTGCTCCTGGTGTGCCAGTGCGTGGGCGCGCACCTAATTAGGCGTCAAAGTACTCGTAATGAAACAGTTTGTACTTCCAGTGGTGGCGGGAGTAGCGTCCCTAGGCGGAGTAGTGTCAGTGGGAGTGGGCAGCTCCCTGCTCCTGGTGTGCCAGTGCGTGGGCGCGCACCTAATTAGGCGTCAAAGTACTCGTAATGAAACAGTTTGTACTTCCAGTGGTGGCGGGAGTAGCGTCCCTAGGCGGAGTAGTGTCAGTGGGGAGTGGGCAGCTCCCTGCTCCTGGTGTGCCAGTGCGTGGGCGCGCACCTAATTAGGCGTCAAAGTACTCGTAATGAAACAGTTTGTACTTCCAGTGGTGGCGGGAGTAGCGTCCCTAGGCGGAGTAGTGTCAGTGGGAGTGGGCAGCTCCCTGCTCCTGGTGTGCCAGTGCGTGGGCGCGCACCTAATTAGGCGTCAAAGTACTCGTAATGAAACAGTTTGTACTTCCAGTGGTGGCGGGAGTAGCGTCCCTAGGCGAGTAGTGTCAGTGGGAGTGGGCAGCTCCCTGCTCCTGGTGTGCCAGTGCGTGGGCGCGCACCTAATTAGGCGTCAAAGTACTCGTAATGAAACAGTTTGTACTTCCAGTGGTGGCGGGAGTAGCGTCCCTAGGCGGAGTAGTGTCAGTGGGAGTGGGCAGCTCCCTGCTCCTGGTGTGCCAGTGCGTGGGCGCGCACCTAATTAGGCGTCAAAGTACTCGTAATGAAACAGTTTGTACTTCCAGTGGTGGCGGGATACGTCCCAGGCGAGTAGTGTCAGTGGGAGTGGGCAGCTCCCTGCTCCTGGTGTGCCAGTGCGTGGGCGCGCACCTAAATAGGCGTCAAATACTCGTAATGAAACAGTTTGTACTTCCAGTGGTGGCGGGAGTAGCGTCCCTAGGCGGAGTAGTGTCAGTGGGAGTGTGGCAGCTCCCTGCTCTGGTGTGCCAGTGCGTGGCGCGCACCTAATTAGGCGTCAAAGTACTGCTAAATGAAACAGTTTGTACTTCCAGTGTGGCGGGAGTAGCGTCCCTAGGCGGAGTAGTGTCAGTGGAGTGGGCAGCTCCCTGCTCCTGGTGCCAGTGCGTGGCGCGCACCTAATTAGGCGTCAAAGTACCGTAATGAAACAGTTGTACTTCCAGTGGTGGCGAGTAGCGTCCCTAGGCGGAGTAGTGTCAGTGGAGTGGGCAGCTCCCTGCTCCTGGTGTGCCAGTGCGTGGGCGCGCACCTAATAAGGCGTCAAAGTACTCGTAATGAAACAGTTTGTACTTCCAGTGGTGGCGGAGTAGCGTCCCTAGGCGGAGTAGTGTCAGTGGGAGTGGCAGCTCCCTGCTCCTGGTGTGCCAGTGCGTGGGCGCGCACCTAATTAGGCGTCAAAGTACTCGTAATGAAACAGTTTGTACTTCCAGTGTGGCGGGAGTAGCGTCCCTAGGCGGAGTAGTGTCAGTGGGAGTGGGCAGCTCCCTGCTCCTGGTGTGCCAGTGCGTGGGCGCGCACCTAATTAGGCGTCAAAGTACTCGTAATGAAACAGTTTGTACTTCCAGTGGTGGCGGGAGTAGCGTCCCTAGGCGGCGTAGTGTCAGTGGGAGTGGGCAGCTCCCTGCTCCTGGTGTGCCAGTGCGTGGCGCGCACCTAATAGGCGTCAAAGTACTCGTATGAAACAGTTTGTACTTACAGTGGTGGCGGGAGTAGCGTCCCTAGCGGAGTAGTGTCAGTGGAGTGGGCAGCTCCCTGCTCCTGGTGTGCCATGCGTGGGCGCGCACCTAATTAGGCGTCAAAGTACTCGTAATGAAACAGTTTGTACTTCCAGTGGTGGCGGAGTAGCGTCCTAGGCGGAGTAGTGTCAGTGGGAGTGGCAGCTCCCTGCTCCTGGTGTGCCAGTGCGTGGGCGCGCACCTAATTAGGCGTCAAAGTACTCGTAATGAAACAGTTTGTACTTCCAGTGGTGGCGGGAGTAGCGTCCCTAGCGGAGTAGTGTCAGTGGAGTGGGCAGCTCCCTGCTCCTGGTGTGCCAGTGCGTGGGCGCGCACCTAATTAGGCGTCAAAGTACTCGTATGAAAACAGTTTGTACTTCCAGTGGTGGCGGGAGTAGCGTCCCTAGGCGGAGTAGTGTCAGTGGGAGTGGGCAGCTCCCTGCTCCTGGTGTGCCAGTGCGTGGCGCGCACCTAATTAGGCGTCAAAGTACTCGTAATGAAACAGTTTGTACTTCCAGTGGTGGCGGAGTAGCGTCCCTAGGCGGAGTAGTGTCAGTGGGAGTGGCAGCTCCCTGCTCCTGGTGTGCCAGTGCGTGGGCGCGCACCTAATTAGGCGTCAAAGTACTCGTAATGAAACAGTTTGTACTTCCAGTGGTGGCGGGAGTAGCGTCCTAGCGGAGTAGTGTCAGTGGGAGTGGGCAGCTCCCTGCTCCTGGTGCCAGTGCGTGGCGCGCACCTAATTAGGCGTCAAAGTACTCGTAATGAAACAGTTTGTACTTCCAGTGGTCGGAGTAGCGTCCCTAGGCGGAGTAGTGTCAGTGGAGTGGCAGCTCCCTGCTCCTGGTGTGCCAGTGCGTGGCGCGCACCCTAATTAGGCGTCAAAGTACTCGTAATGAAACAGTTTGTACTTCCAGTGGTGGCGGAGTAGCGTCCCTAGGCGGAGTAGTGTCAGTGGGAGTGGGCAGCTCCCTGCTCCTGGTGTGCCAGTGCGTGGGCGCGCACCTAATTAGGCGTCAAGTACTCGTAATGAAACAGTTTACTTCCAGTGGTGGCGGAGTAGCGTCCCTAGGCGGAGTAGTGTCAGGGAGTGGGCAGCTCCCTGCTCTGGTGTGCCAGTGCGTGGGCGCGCACCTAATTAGGCGTCAAAGTACTCGTAATGAAACAGTTTGTACTTCCAGTGGTGGCGGGAGTAGCGTCCCTAGGCGGAGTAGTGTCCAGTGGGAGTGGCAGCTCCCTGCTCCTGGTGTGCCAGTGCGTGGGCGCGCACCTAATTATGCGTCAAGTACTCGTAATGAAACAGTTTGTACTTCCAGTGTGGCGGGAGTAGCGTCCCTAGGCGGAGTAGTGTCAGTGGGAGTGGGCAGCTCCCTGCTCCTGGTGTGCCAGTGCGTGGGCGCGCACCTAATTAGGCGTCAAAGTACTCGTAATGAAACAGTTTGTACTTCCAGTGGTGGCGGGAGTAGCGTCCCTAGGCGGAGTAGTGTCAGTGGGAGTGGGCAGCTCCCTGCTCCTTGTGCCAGTGCGTGGGCGCGCACCTAATTAGGCGTCAAAGTACTCGTAATGAAACAGTTTGTACTTCCATGGTGGCGGGAGTAGCGTCCCTAGGCGGAGTAGTGTCAGTGGGAGTGGGCAGCTCCCTCTCCTGGTGTGCCAGTGCGTGGGCGCGCACCTAATTAGGCGTCAAAGTACTCGTAATGAAACAGTTTGTACTTCCAGTGGTGGCGGGAGTAGCGTCCCTAGGCGGAGTAGTGTCAGTGGGAGTGGGCAGCTCCCTGCTCCTGGTGTGCCAGTGCGTGGGCGCGCACCTAATTAGGCGTCAAAGTACTCGTAATGAAACAGTTTGTACTTCCAGTGGTGGCGGGAGTAGCGTCCCTACGGAGTAGTGTCAGTGGGAGTGGGCAGCTCCCTGCTCCTGGTGTGCCAGTGCGTGGGCGCGCACCTAATTAGGCGTCAAAGTACTCGTAATGAAACAGTTTGTACTTCCAGTGGTGGCGGGAGTAGCGTCCCTAGGCGGAGTAGTGTCAGTGGGAGTGGGCAGCTCCCTGCTCCTGGTGTGCCAGTGCGTGGGCGCGCACCTAATTAGGCGTCAAAGTACTCGTAATGAAACAGTTTGTACTTCCAGTGGTGGCGGGAGTAGCGTCCCTAGGCGGAGTAGTGTCAGTGGGAGTGGGCAGCTCCCTGCTCCTGGTGTGCCAGTGCGTGGGCGCGCACCTAATTAGGCGTCAAAGTACTCGTAATGAAACAGTTTGTACTTCCAGTGGTGGCGGGAGTAGCGTCCCTAGGCGGAGTAGTGTCAGTGGGAGTGGGCAGCTCCTGCTCCTGGTGTGCCAGTGCGTGGGCGCGCACCTAATTAGGCGTCAAAGTACTCGTAATGAAACAGTTTGTACTTCCAGTGGTGGCGGGAGTAGCGTCCCTAGGCGGAGTAGTGTCAGTGGGAGTGGGCAGCTCCCTGCTCCTGGTGTGCCAGTGCGTGGGCGCGCACCTAATTAGGCGTCAAAGTACTCGTAATGAAACAGTTTGTACTTCCAGTGGTGGCGGGAGTAGCGTCCCTAGGCGGAGTAGTGTCAGTGGGAGTGGGCAGCTCCCTGCTCCTGGTGTGCCAGTGCGTGGGCGCGCACCTAATTAGGCGTCAAAGTACTCGTAATGAAACAGTTTGTACTTCCAGTGGTGGCGGGAGTAGCGTCCTAGGCGGAGTAGTGTCAGTGGGAGTGGGCAGCTCCCTGCTCCTGGTGTGCCAGTGCGTGGGCGCGCACCTAATTAGGCGTCAAAGTACTCGTAATGAAACAGTTTGTACTTCCAGTGGTGGCGGGAGTAGCGTCCCTAGGCGGAGTAGTGTCAGTGGGAGTGGGCAGCTCCCTGCTCCTGGTGTGCCAGTGCGTGGGCGCGCACCTAATTAGGCGTCAAAGTACTCGTAATGAAACAGTTTGTACTTCCAGTGGTGGCGGGAGTAGCGTCCCTAGGCGGAGTAGTGTCAGTGGGAGTGGGCAGCTCCCTGCTCCTGGTGTGCCAGTGCGTGGGCGCGCACCTAATTAGGCGTCAAAGTACTCGTAATGAAACAGTTTGTACTTCCAGTGGTGGCGGGAGTAGCGTCCCTAGGCGGAGTAGTGTCAGTGGGAGTGGGCAGCTCCCTGCTCCTGGTGTGCCAGTGCGTGGGCGCGCACCTAATTAGGCGTCAAAGTACTCGTAATGAAACAGTTTGTACTTCCAGTGGTGGCGGGAGTAGCGTCCCTAGGCGGAGTAGTGTCAGTGGGAGTGGGCAGCTCCCTGCTCCTGGTGTGCCAGTGCGTGGGCGCGCACCTAATTAGGCGTCAAAGTACTCGTAATGAAACAGTTTGTACTTCCAGTGGTGGCGGAGTAGCGTCCCTAGGCGGAGTAGTGTCAGTGGAGTGGGCAGCTCCCTGCTCCTGGTGTGCCAGTGCGTGGGCGCGCACCTAATTAGGCGTCAAAGTACTCGTAATGAAACAGTTTGTACTTCCAGTGGTGGCGGGAGTAGCGTCCCTAGGCGGAGTAGTGTCAGTGGGAGTGGGCAGCTCCCTGCTCCTGGTGTGCCAGTGCGTGGGCGCGCACCTAATTAGGCGTCAAAGTACTCGTAATGAAACAGTTTGTACTTCCAGTGGTGGCGGGAGTAGCGTCCCTAGGCGGAGTAGTGTCAGTGGGAGTGGGCAGCTCCCTGCTCCTGGTGTGCCAGTGCGTGGGCGCGCACCTAATTAGGCGTCAAAGTACTCGTAATGAAACAGTTTGTACTTCCAGTGGTGGCGGGAGTAGCGTCCCTAGGCGGAGTAGTGTCAGTGGGAGTGGGCAGCTCCCTCCCTGGTGTGCCAGTGCGTGGGCGCGCACCTAATTAGGCGTCAAAGTACTCGTAATGAAACAGTTTGTACTTCCAGTGGTGGCGGGAGTAGCGTCCCTAGGCGGAGTAGTGTCAGTGGGAGTGGGCAGCTCCCTCCTCCTGGTGTGCCAGTGCGTGGGCGCGCACCTAATTAGGCGTCAAAGTACTCGTAAAAACAGTTTGTACTTCCAGTGGTGGCGGGAGTAGCGTCCCTAGGCGGAGTAGTGTCAGTGGGAGTGGGCAGCTCCCTGCTCCTGGTGTGCCAGTGCGTGGCGCGCACCTAATTAGGCGTCAAAGTACTCGTAATGAAACAGTTTGTACTTCCAGTGGTGGCGGGAGTAGCGTCCCTAGGCGGAGTAGTGTCAGTGGGAGTGGGCAGCTCCCTGCTCCTGGTGTGCCAGTGCGTGGGCGCGCACCTAATTAGGCGTCAAAGTACTCGTAATGAAACAGTTTGTACTTCCAGTGGTGGCGGGAGTAGCGTCCCTAGGCGGAGTAGTGTCAGTGGAGTGGCAGTGGGTGCCAGTGGGCGCTCCTCCGTCCTCGTGGTCTCCAGTGGTGGCGGAGTGCGTGGGCGCGCCTCCGCCAGCGCGCGCTCCGCCGCGCATGTTGGTACCACAAGCACAACATCATCACGCACCATCCCAGGTTCACCAGGAACCATGACGACAGCTTGTTGATTAATAGTAAGTTCTTTTTTTTACATTTCAATATACAGGATGACCCTGGAGTCGACGATCAAATGGCACTAGAGGATCGACAATCGTTTTTAAATTACAATGACTTATGATGATGATGTCATATCGTATGTAAAGTGTTACCTAGTAGATAAAAGGTTTTTAGGTGTGCTTTGGACAGACTAGAACAAATTTTAGTAAGTCCAAATAAATGGTTGGTTCAAAGATACGTTGAAATATTTTTTGTGTCGAATTTAAGAAATAATGTAGATAGAGGTATACCATTTTGAATAGGGCAGTTTCCTAAATTTTATTTTAATGTCCGTCTGGTAGATTAATTCAAAACAGTAACTTTAGACACGTATTTTTTGTTTTCTCACAAAATTAAATACTTTCGACGATTTATATTAATTTGAAATATCGTGTGACGTCACAGCGTGTCACATTTTGTAGCACATTATGACGTAACGACCTGCCACTTCTAAACTTAGCGCCATTTTATCTAAGTACTGCAACTTGATACGAGAAAATAAAAAAATACGCGTCTAATATGTTTCAATTACCTAACTGACGGACTAACCTCTCGCGTGTTTCTCGTACACACGGGTGTACGAGAGAGTTGAGTGCCTATCGCGCAATTGTACACACGGGTGTACGAGAAACGCGCACCGATTGGATATTTTTCTGTGACTTATATTTTCAAGTTTGCAACCCGTTCTTTACTTCATTGAACAGAATAGTTAATTAGCTTTTCTGTCGAAATATTTACCCGTGTGTACGAGAGGCGTGCAAGAGGTTAATTAGATGTTTAATTTTGATACCCTGGAAACTACCCAATTCTTTTTAAATCCGCCAACTTCAGTGAAATTTGCGACTACTAACGCAGTACAACATTTTTTCAGCACAGTCACTTAAAGTAAGATAAAAATTGATCAAATCCACTTGGTTCGCCAGAATTTGTTATTCCATAATACTGGAGCACTGTTCAGGACAACATATACATAATTAATCATGAGTCAAAAGAATGGCGTAGGCTGTACTTTTTCGTGGATAACACTTAAATCATTATAATTTAAAATCTACATACATATATGATTTCGATTTTTTCACATTTTTCTGATAACTCTTGGAACTTTGCTGATCACCTGGTGCTATTCGTCGTGGCTATTATTCGTGGTGGTAATCGTCGACTTTGGGGACAAAGTTTGGTCAGAGTTGCACATTACGGCACTTAATGCCACTGTACAATGTAACACCAACTTTTCACTCTATTCATGTTATACGTCCCATGTAATAGGGGGTCGGCCTATTGCCATATACCGGGCACAATTCCAGACTCCGTGCTACTACTGATTTTTTTTAAAACCCTTTAATACTTTGTTCGAACCGTGAAAAGTGGGTGTTACATTGTACAGTGGCATTAAGTGCCGTAATTTGCACGTCTATTTACCCCTTCGGGGATAAAGGGCGCGATATTCTGTTATTTTATGGTATAAGTAACCATTTACTCAGATAGAATCAAAATATTATACTATAACAGTTAACATACGTTGGTATTTATAAAATAAAATACTTCCTTCCTACATAAAATATATATTTTTTCCAGATATTGACCAATCACTAAGCGGTAATTACACCTGCTTAGCGAAGAACCTGTACGGTTCTGACTCAGTGTCTTACGAGGTGCTAGTACTGCCTACTCCTGAACCGCCGAGTTTGAGAGTGACGTCACATAAGAATGCAATACATCTGCAATGGGAGTTACCTAGGAAGATAGGAGGGAAGTCACAGAAAATAAGTAAGTGTGACTTGTGTGTGCTTCTAATCAAGTATTGTTGCCTTCACGATTATCAGTAACATTTTTAGGCTTCATGTTTAGTTTGCACATAGTGTTATTAGTATGTCAACCACAAAATCTTAGGCTTAGTTACACCAGGGAAAGTAGTTATAGAAGTAGTAAGTGTCACATTTAAAAGTAACTATAACGCTGACTGACAGCAAATGTGTTGCACCAGCAAATTCAGTAGCTTTGTTTTGACAAAATTCAGTAGCTTTGTTTTAACTTTGGTTAAAAGTATTGTAAGTCAAATGAGGTGTGATTTTCCCCATAATTGATGTATATAATACATTTTTTTTGTTGGATAAGCCGGTAAACGAGTCAACGCATCATCTGATGGTAAGCAATCGGTGTCGCTTATGGCCGCTTATATTATATATCAGAGGCGTCACAAGTGTTTTATCTGCCTTTTGGGGATCAAGAATTTGACGTTTGTTGGAGATTTGGAAATTGCGGCGGGGGGTAATTGGGTTTCCGGTAACCTCACTCACACGATGAAATAACGCAAGCGTTGTTTCACGTCGTTTTCTGTGGGGTCGTGGTATCACTCTGGTCTTAAACATACATAGGAAGCATGTATAGCATGCACTATACAGAGCATGAAGTCTCAAACTTGGGTCGAAGATTGGCAATAAACTTATCGCCTTTAGATTAAAATATGACCTGGAACGTTAATCACACACCTGACAGCACTTTCAAAATGGTTGTAAAACTTTCACCATTGTTGTTAAGTGTCATTTAACTTAGTTTGAATGGCAATAGATAAGAAGGAATAACATTACACCTAAAAGTGTGGGAGAGCCATGCTTCCGCACGAATGAGCCGGCTCGACCAGAGCGATACCACGGCCTCACAGAAAACCGACGTGAAGCAACGCTTGCGTTGTGTTTCGTCATGTGAATGAGGTTACCGGAGGCCCAATTACCCTCCCCTTCCCCAATCTCCCCAATTCCTGAATCCCTAACGATCCTCAAACTCCTGATCCCCAAAAGGCCGGTAAGGCACTTGTAACGCCTCTGGTGTTCCAGGTGTCCATGGGCGACGCCGATTGCTTGCCATCAGATGATCCGTCTGCCCGTTTACCGGCTTATGCCATAAAAAAAGAAATGCCTACATATTCATTAGCCAACAGATATTCAACCTCTTTTCCTACCAATTCCAGGTTACAATCTCACTTGGAAAGAAGCGAACGGGTCTTGGCAAGACGCATGGTCTAGCAAGGGAACTTCTCTTCAAGGCACTCAGGAGTATACCCTGCAGGGTTTAAAATGTGGAACGAAATACTCCTTGAGGATGACTGCAGCTAACAGTGTGGGGTCCTCGCAACCTTCTTATATGGATGCTAACACTTTGGGAGGAGGTGGGTTCGATGAATTAATTTTAGTTTAGTATACACCAAACAATTTCACAGATCACTTGGGGGTAAGTGATCATGCTGGACCACCCATAGACACTTAACTCCAGAGGATTTACAAGGACGTTTTTGACCTTTTGCGGTGTAGAGAGAGGAATCTCTAGAGACCTACAAATGATTTGATTTACACCAGTTTCTTGTGAAACCGTGTCATTTAGACCCATTGCATTAAACTGATATAAATAAAATTATTTTGAAACTTATTATAAACCTCACGTGATTAGTTTTAATATGGTAGTATACTAAATTTTGTGTTAATGTCCGTCTGGTAGATTACATTAAAACATTCGACACATATTTTTTATTTTTTTACAAAATTAAATACTTTCGACGATATATTGAATTGAAATATCATTTGACGTCACGATTTACTGCATTTTATAGGGTAGTGTGACGTAATGACCTCCCACTCCTAAATTTTACTCCGTTTGATCTAAGTATTGTTTTCTTATACGTCTAAATAAAAAAAATATATGACTAATATTTTTTCATTATCTAAATGTCGGACTAATTACATTTTTAATATTCAATACACTGTCTACTACCCTATTGACGAGACTGCTATTTTTTTTATGGCATAAGCTGGTAACTGAGCTGACGGATCACCTGATGGTAAGCAATCGGCGCCGCCCATGGACACCTGGAACACCAGAGGCGTTACAAGTGCGTTACCGGCCTTTTGTCGATTAAGGAATTGGGGAAGGGTAGGGTAATTGGGCCTCCGGTAACCTCACTCACACGACGAAACACAACGCAAGCGTTGTTTCATCACGTCGGTTTTCTGTGAGGCCGTGGTATCACTCCGGTCGGAGCGGCTTGTTTTTTTAAAATAATTCCAATTTCAATTTTAGTACCAATATCACCAACCAGCACTGAGTGGTTCTGGAGTAACGCCACACACATTTACATTCAGCTGAGTGGGTGGGATGACAATGGATGCGAGATCACCAGGTTTGATGTGGAATACAAGGAGTTTGGCAGCAAGACGTGGAAGAAGGCTGAAAATAGACTTGTAAGTATCTACAGAGGGTAGTCATTCTATTGAAGAAGTATTCATGTTAATACCTCTCACCTTCACAGAGTAGTTACAGGAACTCATTCCTAAAACTTGGAATTGAGATTTTTTATAATCTAAGAACTCAATGTCGTGGTCAGGTGGCCCCGAGGTTAAGACGCCCGCTTCTCATGCATGAGGATGCGGGCTCGAAACTTACCAACTGAAAGTACCAATGTGACTTTTTCCGAGTTGTATGTACTTCCTAAAATTATCTATACACCACAAACGGTGAAGGCAAACATCGTGAGAAAACCTGGACGTATACTTTCTAATTATAAGTTTGAAATCGTCAATCCGCAATGAGCAAGCGTGGTCATTAATGCTCGAACCTTCTCCGTGTGACAAGAGGCTTTGCTCAGCTGTGGGCATTTATAGACTGTTGATGATGATGATGACAGTCTAAGAACTCAGTAACGATTTGGGAGACCGTAATTCGCTGTAACCAAACTCGGACCAATACTGTTTATCAACTGCGTTTGCGATTACTCAACTAAAATAGGGTTACTTAGATTCATCATCATCTTACAAAGGGCTATTGTTGGCAATACACTTTTTTTATCTGGGATCACCTGATGGTAAGCAATCGGCGTCGCCTATGGACACTCGGCACATTAGAGTGGTATAAGTGTGTAGCCTTTTAGGGATTAGGAATTTGAGGATTGTTGGGATTTAGGGATTGGGGAGATTGGATTGGGGGGGGGGGGAGATAATTTGGCCTCCAATAACCTCACTCACACGACGAAACACAACGCAAGCGTTGTTTCACGTCAGTTTTCTGCTCGGCCGTAGTATCACTCCAGTCGAGCCGGCCCAGCAGTGCCGAAGCATGGCTCTCCCACACTCAAACCTCTTCCATGGTGTATACCATAAGAATCAAAGAATTATTATTTTTATCAACCAGTTTATTCCTCTTTGCAGCCTTCAATAGACCAAGCATGGAGTCACTACGTGCCTTCTTCAATCCTCGCTCAGCCAAATTCATTTGTATTGGCGGAGCTGGTCCCAGCTCAGTGGTACCATGTCAGGGTCACTGCTGAGAATGCTGCTGGTATCTCCACATCTATGTATAGTTATGCCACCACTACTGTGCAAGGAGGTATGACTATGTATTTAGTAAAGATTTAGCCGAGTCGACCCGAGTGGTTGTAAGTGCGACTGCCGGGCAAGGGGTCTCTCGATTCCCGGGTCGGGCAAAAAAGAAAGTGAAAAAACATTCTCAGTAGTAGCAAGGAGTTTGGGATTGTGCCCAGTATATGGCAATAAATAGTGAAAAGTGGGTGCTACTAATGAGAATAAAAAAACCCAGTAATACTTTGCACGACCCGGGAATCGAGAGTCCCCTTGCCCGGCAGTCGCACTTGCGACCACTGGGCCAACGAGGCAGATAAAAAAAAACTATAGACAAAATTCTAAAATTTCTTCATTTTCCTTTATTGTTCCAGAATCAGTGGGACCACCATCGGACTTCTTTGATCTGAACATGCTGGTGATCATCTGCAGTTCTATACTTCTCATGATCTGTTCGCTGACTTGCGTTTACATACTAGTCAAGAGGCATAAGTAAGTTTTTGTTTATTCCTAAATTAATCTTATTCTTCTCTTTTTAGTTTCTATGTGACGAGGTTAGAAACAAATTCATTTAACAAATCACCTGTAAGATTATTACAATACAAAACTTGATAATGTGAACTTAAAAGAAGATGAAAGAAAGCAAACTAGTTTATTTGAACCTATACATAATACAAAATATACGAAAATTTGTTTAAAACAAAATAAACTGTGAAAACTGCACAAAAATGCTCAACTAGAATGTCGTGTTACGAGCGCGAGAGCGCGAGTCGCTGCGCTGACTTTCAGTACTAACCTGTTTCTATATACTATAATAATAATAACAAACCATAATATTTTCATAAAACACCTGCAATAACTAAATAAGAATAAGAGATAGATAGGTATTGTCAAGCAACTTAACATAAAACCGAGAGATCACTTCTTTGAAAAGAGACCTCTAAATGCCCCATTTCTAGTTAAATTCTTTCGCTTCTTATATAATTACTTCCAATAGAAGGGCCAATTTAAAAGTACCCTTAACCGACGAGCATGCATAAAAAGATTGTTGATTATAGGATGAGAGGATGAGATGTATGTAGGAATCGTAGCCATTGTCTTCTATAGTCTCTGCCTACTTCCATGGGAGACAGGCGTGAAGTTATGTATGTATGTTTGAATTGCCTTCCCTTGACCCTAGACAATCATCATAAAAAATCTCAGTAAACATAATTCTTCTACAAGTTTGAACCGAATGTTTGGAAAACTTCAACCAGGAAGCTACTAGCAGTTAAAATATAAAATGATTCCACCACAACGTTAAATGCGAGTTCAAAATCTAAATTAACTTACTCCCAGTCAATCTAACTTGCACAGGTAAATTGTAAAATTTGTATGTATTCCAATATAACTAACTACGTTATTATCTTCCAGTCACCAGCATCTAACAGAATACAGAAATTCTCTGACAGCAGAATGTAAGTCAGAGCGCAGTAATATGACAGTGAATACACCGCAAAGTGTGCCTACTGACATGAGTAATAGAGTCTACAGTACACCTGTACATCTCACTGCTGAGAATAAACATGGTAAGTTTATTAAACTGTAGTATTATGTATGTTAATGTTGGTTTACTTAACGCGTTTTGGCTTAGAACACAGAGGTAGATTAATGAGACTTTGTAATAATCTAAAGGGTTTTGCGAAAATAAAAATTTGTGTTTTAAGGATATCTTTCTATAATACCTCGAGAACAGCTATAGCATGATAGTAAACTACAAAAGTGTTGCTACAAAAGTCTTTATTCTATTATAGAATAAGCCAGTAAACGAGCAGACGAATCACCTGATGGTAAGCAATCAGCGTCGCCCATGGACACCTGAAACACCAGAAGTGTTACAAGTGCGTTACCGGCCTTTTAGGGATTAAGAATTTATGAATTATTGGGAAGTCAGGGATTGGGGAGAAGGGAGGGTAATTGGGCCTCCGGTAACCTCACTCACACGACGAAACACAACGCAAGCGTTGTTTCACGTCGGATTTCTGTGAGGCCGTGGTATCACTCCGGTCGAGCCGGTCCATTCGTGCCATAACATGGCTCTCCTAAAATTAGCGAAGTCTACGACAAAGGATTGAAAATGATAAAGAAAGTGCATGTAATTTAGTTTTTTTCACTTTGTCAACTGACATCAGCAAAATTTTAGAATATAATAATGGTATAGTGAAAGATAAAACCGTAACTTATGTATACACCTTTTCTATTTACAGAATTGTACGAGATAAGTCCATACGCACAATTTGCTATTGGATTTCGAACGTTCGGTCATGTAGACAATCAAGAAGTGCCGAATAGAGTTCATCTACCCGGTAATAGCAAATCAAGATACGATAGTGGTAAGTGCATTTCAAAATACATGAACAATTTGATCATGTAGTTCAGACTTATGCTGAAACACGCCTTATTCTGTGGTGTAAACCTAACTATTTACTTATCTGGACTGGTCATAGTCAAAGTCGCAAGTCAAAATCATTTATTTCAATTAAATTAGGTAGCCACTTTTGATAGTCAACAAAAAATTTTAAAGTGAAGCTATTTGCTCATTCCAAGGTGTAAGTTCCTATGGAGACGAACGAGCAAGAAACTTCATAGGTTACTCTTTTTCAATCAGGTTTACAATTACATTTCTCTAGTGACATAGTTTTAGTGTTTGGATTATGCGAGGACAATGTAACACCGAAATCCAGGCAAAGAGATTGAAAAAGACAATAACCTTAAGGACAATAAATATACAGTCTAGAGTTGACCAGTCCCAGTTGACGGCGCCCGTTCATGAACATGACACGTACACCAGCACCGCCCAAATCAACCATATTGTAGGGCATCGAGTTATCCACTGCACGTGCCACCGCCAATGAGACCTTTAAATGACCATGACAACTCCAAGCTGACACAAAATATTAAGTTATTGACATACAAATACGTATATTGGCTGCCTCGTTGGCTGAGTGGTCGCAAGTGCGACTGCCGGGCATGGGGTCTCGGGTTCAAATCCCGGGTAGGGCTAAGTATTACTAGGTTTTTTAAAAAAATCTCAGTAGTAGCACGGAGTCTGGAATTATATAACATACATAAATAGTGAAAAGTGGGTGTAACTTCTATGTGCACTTCTGCCTACCCCTTTAGGGATAAAAGGCGTGATGTTATGTTATGTGGGTGTAAATACATATGTTGACTATAGAAAATACATTATATCTGACGATGTTATTTTCAGAGACGAGTTTTCAAATGCGATCCGAGTCCGAAGAGAGTGACTGCGTGTCGCGAACAACTACATTGAAAAGTGTACCAAGAAGTAAGACTACAACTATTAATTATTGTTATCTAAAAACAAAACTAAAGTATCACTTCAACATCTATATATATATATATAAAAGAAAGTTGTGTTAGTTACACCACTTATAACTCAAGAACGGCAGAATAGATTTGGCTAAAAATTGGTGACGAGGTAGCTTAGAGCCAGGAGACCGACATAGGATACTTTTTAACCAACATTTTTTTTTTTACTTTATACCGAAAATCACGAACGGGGACGGGAAAAATGGGATTACGCGTACGAAGTCGCGGGCAGAAGCTAGTTATTCCATAATTATCAAAATAAAGACCTCAGTTTTGCCACAAAACCCACAGTACACTTTGCTTCTAAAATGTGTGCTAGTGCCATCTATCGGTGAGAGCAAAAACTAAGTCATCTTGATCCCTGAAAGTGAAACACTACTGAATAGTCTACAAATTAAAACTAGAGCTCATCGATAGATGACATTATTGTATAATAAGTATTATTACACAAAATTACGTTTGTTATTTTTAAATGGTATAGACCTTACTTGCATCATGATATTTTTATTTAACACCACAAAGGCCGAATTCTTCCATAATAATGGAATCTTGTGATGCCTCTGTTGCAGGTGTAGTTAATTAGGCTATGAATAGTGACCTATTAAAATGTCAGTTTAAATCTTATACTCTTATACCTACTATTATATAAAACCGAAGAGTTTGTTTTTTTGTTTGTTTGTTTGAACGCGCTAATCTCCGTTACTACAAGTCTGATTTAAATAATTCTTTTTATGTTGGATAGCGCATTTATCGAGGATGGCTATAGGCTATAAAATATCACGGTACGACCAATAGGAGATGAGCAGAGCGTGTGAAACCGCGCGGAAGTAGCTAGTTAATAATGAATGGTTATGTATTTTTTTCAGAAGCCTGCAGAGTCCCACATCACAGGTAGCTGAGAAAATAACAGGATAGTAGATAAAGCGTAGTAGACAATTTTTATAATGGTTGTGTTCATATCAACATAACAACTTACTGTGTCATATAAACTAAGGTTGTATTTGTTTATTTATATCACTTTGAAATAGTAGTTTATGAGAATTATTATTAACAATTTGTATTAGCTAAGTAGCAGTTTGTAAAATAATGATCGTTATTCAATTTTAATGTAGTACCTTCGTTATGCAATTACTTGCATAACTGAGTGTTGATTCAGTGTTCAATGTCATAATTGAGTATTTATTTTTTACTTGATTATAATATTGTTTTATTAAAATTGTAGTTGAGAATGTGATTATAGCACACACAATTAGTTTTTTTTTATTTTGAAATACTTTTGGAGTTAAATGACTATAGAGTTTTTTTTTTCAAATAATTTACGTTAATTGAAGTTGAGAATATGATTATATTATAGCACACATGATTAGTTTTTTTTTTATTTCAAATACCTACTTTTTGGAGTAAAATGACTAAGGAGTTTTTTTTTCGAATAATTTACGTTTATTTATAGTCTGTGCATATTTTACTAACTGCTACTACTACTTGAACTGTTACAGTCAATAAAATATAATAAAAATAGATTTGTTATATCAATAAATAAATCTAGTCAAAGTTTTTGATCTCACTCTACCATATTTTAACAATTTAAAAGGTTTTAATTTATTTTAAAATCCATTTTATAAAAATGTTTGTTTTGTACTGTGTAAGTTTTTATAAAAAATAAAGGTTAATGAATAATGTATAAACTAGGAATGTTTTTTATTATTATATAACTAACACTTATTTTATATTTTTTATCTAAAATAAAAATCGATTAAATAATAATAGATATTTACGTACTCAACCATTTTGATAAACCTATAACTTTTCTCTAATCTATAGTTTACCGAAAAATTTAAAATGCTGCCATGTTTGTTTTCGTATTTATATTTAAAGTCAAAAACCAGTAATAATGTAGTAGAAAAAAAATCGTAAAAAAATAATAAAAATTGAAACTTAATTATCTTCAAAAAGACTGATTATTTAATGTTTATTTTTTAATATACTAATAATAATTATGTAAATCCTCGATTTACTATAGAAATAAAATTTCGAAAATATTAAATGTTAGAACACTATTACATTGTTTTATTTTCCATTGCCATTTCTTTCTAATTTCCTTTGCTTGGTTCAGTATTAATAACACCTTCATACTTGTTTGACCAGGACTTAAAACTATAAATTTGATATATGGCAATAGGCTTACCCCCTATTACATGGGACTCATAACATACATAGTGAAAAGTTGGTGTAACATTGTGCATTGGCATAATGTGCACCTCTGCCTACCCGTTCGGGGATAAAAAGTGTGATGTTTTGTTATACTATGTTATAAATTTGACACAAGTGAAACTAGAGAATTTATTTCTGCAAATAGGCTACAAGGCAGCACTTTTACACGTCAATTTTAGCAAACGAACGAATTTGAAAGTGAGTTTGACTTAAAGGCCACTACAGAATGAACTTGCACGATTCTCACACAATCTTTCATACATATTTGTCTGGACTTTAATAGAGACAGACCTCTGAGTTTGTTTCGGCATTTCTTCTCAGAGTAGTCAGTTAGGAAATGTCGACCTCACCGTTCGCTTGATAAAATTGACGTGTAAAAGTGCTGCCTTGTAGCCTATTTGCAGAAATAAATTCACTTGTTTCACTTGACTTTCTTTTACGTTTCCATGGCGAATACAATAAATTGGGTACTTGACGACTAGTCAAATTCAATCGTTTTTTCGAACTGTTAAAAACGAGTTTTTTATGAATCTTTTTTTCCTTCTTTGGCAACCGAGTTTTTATGAATTTTGTACGAGATTGTGTATTGTGACGTCACTTTTTTTGAACGTCAAACAGCATACTTATTTTTTAAATATTTGCTGGTTTAATACTTAAATTAAGTTAGCCATAGAATCAATTAATGAAAGTGTTATTATTTTTTTAAATATTATTGTTTTTAACAGTCGAAAAAATTGATTTTTACTTAGGAAAATCGCCAATTGCCGTCTCTCCTACTTTTAAGCGTAAGCGCCAACTAAGGGACTACACATATGACAGAAATCAGGCAGCATTGACCTCAAATAAACTTGAACCTTTAAAACGGCAGTTTCACCATCGAAGCATGGGTACTATAAAAACCTCTCTTATGTAGGAAGCTCATAGTTCAGAATTTTATACCCTTATTTTTATTTATTTTGTACCTTATTTTTCGCAGATTTTCTAATTAAACCCCAAGGTTGACTGGTAGAGAATACCATATGGCATTAAGTTCGCCTTATGTGTCATTATAAAATTTTCTACATAAAAGAATAAATAAATAAATAAATACCCTGTGTCAGTTCACTACTGGAATGGTTATTCATCTAGTTATATTAGCAATGCCTTAAAATAAAAGAGTGAGACTATTGTTATTTACGCCATGACCCAGTATATACCAATCTCCATAGAGAACCTGAAACGCAAGAATATATCCGACACAGGATGATTAAATATTATTACCATAACATAACACCCTTTTATCCCCGAAGGGGTAGGCAGAGGTGCACATTTCGGCACCCACCTTTCACTATTTATGTTATGAACACCCACTATTCACTATTTATGTTATGAGTCCCATGTAATAGGGGGTGAGCCTATTGCCATATACCGGGCACATTTCAAGACTCCGTGCTACTACTGAGATTTTTAAAAACCTAGTAATACTTTGCCCGAATCCGAGTCCCCCGGCAGTCGCACTTGCGACCACTCGGCCAACGAGGTAGTCTATTATTACCATTATTTACCATTTGTTGTCTAAACGTCACGAGACGAACTACATCAACTAGACAGCCAACAATATAAAAACAAACGAATAGTTCTCAAAACAACTAAAACATCACAAACAAAAACTTAGAAACAACGAATCTTGACCTTTGAAATAGAAATTGGAAAACGTAAACACGAAATCAAAACTCCAAGCACATTAGCCCAATGAACCATACAGCGCCAGCGTAGGAAAGAAAGTAAATTTCTCTATAGAAAACAACACAGAATTTGAACTAGGGTTTATTATAACAAAATACAAAACTTTTAACGTAGCCTTAGGTAGAAGTTTTCGTATAAAATCGTTTGGAACAGCGATTTACTTTGGTTGTGCAGTGAGACGTGAAATTGGTGCAAAACTCTTGGGAAGGATGGAAGTTTCCGAAGGTGTTTGATCTTGATTGACTGTGAGAATGTGGAATGTATTGATGGAGACTTTTAGAGTCAAGATATGAAGACCTGTATGTACTTTAAATATAGATTTTTCTACGTATTTGTAGTCTTTAATAGTATCAATTTTAATAGTTAATTTTAATAGTATTAATGTACAGACACTTTTCGTCAGTTGAATAAATCACATTTTTCTAAATAATAATAAAAAATAATTTTGTGATCATGTGAAATGTTTCAAACAGCCGTCAGACCACCATATTTGGGGCTCAGTAGGGCTGATACCCAATCTGCATCTGCGAAAGACTTAACTGGTGACCGAGGCTTCAGCTCGAAGAGACTGGTTTTTACTCAG